ACGGGAGCAGCTAAAGAATCACGAGGCACAACCAAATATGAAGCAAAATAAGATGATACATATTAATAAGTAGATCCCGGATCAAATAATACTGAGGCCTCCCTACTACAAACTGAAATCGTACCTGTGATAACCGCGTCAGATGACTCAGCCTCTGGCCTGGCTAGAAAAGCATAGCATCGGGGCTGGGCCCCACCACTCTGAACTGCATCTCGAGGACTCGCCTTGTCTGGCTGGCCTCCACCTCTAGCGGCCTGACCTCCACCTCTAATACCTCGGCCTCCACCTCTAGCTGTCTGACCCCTACCTCTAGCTGGCTGAGCGGGCGGTGGAACACCCGGTGCTGGGACCATGGCACAAGAACCTTGTTGCTGAGAACTGCTCGATGCTCGATGCTCGAGGGCAATACCTAGCAATGTGCCTCGGATCGCCCCAAATATAATAAGATCTTGGATGTTGTGGCTGATGACCCTAAAATTGACCATGGCGGCCTAAGTAACCACCTTGAAAACTTTGGAGCGGAGGTGCACTGATAGGAGCTGGTGGTGCATTATAGGCTAGCTGATCTGAATACTGTATATGAGAGCCTCGGCCACTTGAAGCACCGTGAGAAGCCTGAAGTGCTGAATGAAACGGCCTGGGAGAATGGCTTCTTCCAAAAGTACACCGGCCCCCAGATGAGGTCCCACTGAATCCATGGAGTGACGAGGCCTCTTATCAGACCCCTGACCACTCCCCTGAGCTAAAACCATCTCAACTTGTCAGGCCACATTGGCTGCATCCTGGAAAGAAATCTCGCTCCCTGTCTCCTTAGCCATCTGCAATCTGATAGGCTGAGCGAGTCCCTCAATAAACCTCCTCACCGTCTCTCTCTCGGTGGGGGGTATAAGAAGAGAGATGGGCCAAATCAATAAAGCGGGTCTCGTACTGAGTAACGGACATGCTTCCCTGCTGGAGATGCTCGAATTGCCTACGATAGTCATCTCTTAATGTAACAGGCAGGAACTTGTCGAGAAATAGCTGGGAGAACTTGTCCCAAGTCAAAGCAGGCGACCCACCTGGTCTGGCCAAACAAAAATCCCTCCACCATTTCTTGGCGGAACTTGATAGACGGAAGGCAGCAAAGTCGACCCCATTGGTGTCCACTATCCTCATGTTATGTAACACCTCATGATGACTGTCCAGATAGTCATAGGGGTCCTCTGAAGATGTACCGCTATAGTGGGTGGTGGAAAGCTTGCTAAACCTATCCAATCTCCACAAAGCCTCAGAAGACATAGCTGATCCATCGCCGGTCTATGCTGCAACACCCGATGGAACTACCCCAACTGACTGAGCGGCTGGAGTCTGAAACTGGGGAGCCATTTGCTCCGGAGTGTGAGTAGCGGGAGTCTGGGGTCCTCCCCCAGCCTAAGAGACGGCTGGCGCTACAGGAAATGTGTCGGCCTGTGCGACACTCTCCATAAGGTCCATTAGACGAACGAAAGCATCCTGAAGTACCGGGGTGGCAATGAACCCCTCTGGAACTTGAGTTAGCCCTACTGGAACGGTCTGGGATGGAGCCTCCTCATCAAACTCTACCCGAGGCTCCGCCCCTGGTGCTACTGCTCAAGCTCTGGGCTGAGCCCTACCCTTGCCTCGCCCTCTAGCACGGCCTCAGCCTCGTCCTCATCCTCTGCCCCTCGTAAAAGCTGCCACTGGGGCTCTGGCTGCTGCTTGGCTTAAGAAGCGGTACGTGTTCTCGCCATCTGTGAAAGATCAAGAGTAGAGAGTTCAATTAGCATTAGGAAATCAAATCGCACGACAGAGAAGAATAGAAGTGAAATTGTTCCTAAACTCTGTAGCCTCTGGGGATAAGCACAGACGTCTATGTGCCGATCCCTCAGACTCTACCTAGCTTGTTCGTGAATTGTGAGACCTAGGCAACCTAGTGCTCTGATACCAACTTGTCACGACCCGGGTTTTCTACCGTTGGGACCGTGATATCGCCTAACTTTTTGGATGCTAGGCAACAACAGTTAAAGATTTAATACGCTAACCCTTGACCAAATAAGTAAATAACAGCCATTCAACCAAAACAGATTAAAAGAGTGCAGAATATCATAATAACCCAAGTACTTATACACAACTACCCAGAAACCGGTGTCACAATTCACGAACTTCTATGAGTCACTACAAATACTGGCTGAAAGAAAATACATCTGTCTTTGAATTAAAAAAATAGTAAACTGGAATAACTGAAAGGGGACTCCAGGGTCTTCGAATGCCGGCAGATCTACCTTGGGTCTCCTGAAGGATTGAAAACAGCAACTCAACTCGGGTAAATACGATCCAGTACCGGAATCTACACAGGAAGTGCAGAGTGCAGTATCTGTACAACTGACCCCATGTACTGGTAAGTGCCGAGCCTAACATCGGCGAAGTAGTGACGAGGCTAGGACAAGGAACATGCTTAAACCCGTGCAGTTAAACAATATGCTAACAAAAATAAACATTAATAGAAGCTAAGCAGATATTAACGGGAGGGGAAACATGCTAAAGGGGTACCAGAATAAAGAATTAAAGCAGTAGAAGAATTTAAACAACTAGTACACCTTGAACCGGTAATAACAAGTAAACACAGTAAACAGAAAATACACGACATCACCCTTTGTGCTTTTACTCTCAACCTCACCAGATAATCCATAATAGAAACGTGCACGACATTAACCTTCATTCTTTACCACTCAACCTCACCATATGAATAATATAAATCTGCACGGCATCACCCTTCGTGCTTTGTCACACTTCCTCACCACATAAGTAATAGAAACGTGCACGACATCACCCTTCGTGCTTTATCACTCTACCTCACCAAAACAGAGACAACAATAATAGGGAGATAGATATGGCAATAACCAGTCTTACTTCAACACATAGTTCACAATACCAATCTCAACTCTCGGTAAAAACCCCATCAATACCAACTTCAATAAAAATATGATAAGAAACATCTTAACACATCGAATAACTAGTCTACACATGAACAATATGATAAAAAAACAACTTTTACAAGAATAAGACTTACTCACATGCTATGACTCGACATCAGCGTATAGATACTCGTCACCTCACCTATACTTTGTACTCAACATCCAGACACGTAACAAGTAAGCGAATAATACCTAATCCCTCAAGCTAAGGTTAGCCACAACACTTACCTCGCTCCTTCGGCCAAACTCAAAGCTCAAACATCGCTTTTCCCGTCACACAAACCTCTGGACCAATAGAATCTAGCAAATTACCAACCAAATAATTCTATTTAAGCCTTAGGAACTACCCATGATAGCAAAGAATTCAATTTAGGCCATTTTTGAAAAAGTCAACAAAAGTCAACACCCAGGCCCGCTTGGTCAAAACCCGAAATTCGGACCAAAACGTGATTACCCATTCACCCCCGAGCCCGGATATACAATTGATTTTGGAATCCGACCTCAATTTGAGGTCTAAATCCCCAAATTTTGAAATCCCTAGCTTCTACCCAAAAATCCCCAATTCCACCATGAAAATCCTAGATTCTAGGTTGAAATCTTGTTAAAAGAGGTGAAAGATTGAAAGAAATGGGTTAAGAATCACATACCTATGATTTGGGGAAGAAATGATCTTTGAAAAAGCGCCTCTTAAGGTTTAGGTTTTGAAAATCCGGGAAATGAATCAAAAATCCCTTCTAAGTCCCTTTTACATAGCTGCAGATGTGGCATTTGCGACCTAAGCATCGCAAATGCGATGGAGATATCGTAATTGCGAAGTGCTTCATAGTCCTGCTGCCTTCACAAATGCGAGGAAAGTGTCGCAATTGCGATCACTGAACCTCGCAAATGCGAGTAAAGATCGCATTTGCGATCTTTACCCCTCCCACTCCCTTTGCAATTGCGAAGGTCACCTCGCAAATGCGAGAACTACTGTCCCAGCTTTTATTCGCATTTGCGATGAAAGCCTCGCAAATGCGGAACCTGCAGGGTTCGCAATTGCGATGCCTGATCTCGCAAATGCGAGATAAGAGGTCTGCAACAAGTTCAACTATACCAGCAAAATTTTCTAAGTTCCAAAACACCCCGTAGCCTATCCGAAACTCACCCGAGCCCTCCGGGCTCTAAACCAAACATACACACAAGTCTTATAACATCATACGAACTTGCTCATGCGATTAAATCGCCAATATAACACCTAGAACTACAAACTTTGCACCGAATCACATGAAATTCTCAAGAACACTTCGAAATCCCTATTTTCACAACCGGACGCTCGAATCACGTCAAATCAACTCCGTTTTAACCAAATTTTACAGACATGACTTAAATATTATATTGAACATATACCGGGCTCCGAAACCAAAATACGAGCCCGATACCAACAAGATCAAACATTAATCAAATTCTTTATACCATTAGATTTTCAAGCTTACAATTTTTAACAAAAATTCATTACTCGAGCTAGGGACCTCCGAATCCGATTCTGGGCATACGCCCAGGCCCCATATTTTACTACGGACCCGTTGAGACCGTCAAAGTTTGTTTACTCAAAACGTTGACCGAAGTCAACTAAAATTAGCTTTTTAGGCCAAAAATTATTATTTCATCAATTATCAACATAAAAGCTTTCCGGAAATACACCCGGACTGCGCACGCAAATTGTGGAGGAATAAAATAAGGTTTTGAATGCCTTGGAATACGTGATTGAGTTCTAAAAGGTAAGATGACCTTTTAGGTCATCAGAATCACCAAAATAATTCGTTTTATGCGTTGTGGTATTGCGGTATTTAACACTAAATGAGAAACTATTAACGTCGGCCATTTATTTGTTACGCATTTGGCACTTATATCTTTTTAGAACAATTTTTTTTTTTGGTAATTAAATTTTTTTATTAATTACCAGAATATTTACACGTAAAGAGCCATAGCACGACTACAACCCAGTCTGCTATCTAACTATAGGACTGAAAAGAAACTATTTCTACTAGGCTAACAAATACAAAATTGTTGAACCTTTTCTTTAATTCTAGTAGGAGCTCGGATATTACACACGTATGCTATTTCCTTCACTAATTGTTCTGCCTTCCTTGATCTCATTTCGAATCTCCGTTGATTTCTTTCAATCCATATTGCATGCACCCATTCTGTATAGGCCATCTTGAATATCTGGGCTTGCTGCGATTTACCTTTTGTTCTTTGGATGATCCACTTTCCAATTAGTTCCCATTGTGTTGTTCTGAAGCTTGGGACTTGCATCCATTTTAGTACCCCCTCCCAGACTTTGATAGAATAAGGACACTCCACGAAGAGATGGTCTCTTGTTTTATTTTGGTTGTTGCACAACTTGCATTCATGATCCACACTTACACCCCAGGAAGCAATTCTATCTACAGTTAGAAGCCTGCCCTGCATTTGCAACCATACTATGAATTGTGCTTTTGGTCGAGCATTATTGCCAAACCTTAGTGTTTTCCATGATATTTTTGCATTGTTTCCCAGTAACTGATAATAGATCTGCTTGATTACACTCCCTGCATTGTTGACTTGTATCAGTAGCAATGAGCTTTTTGCCTCAAACAACTTCTTTACCATCCATCCAGCTTGTTGAGGGATAGCCATTTGAGCAAAATGTTGGTTCTTGATATAGTATGCATGTAGCCATCTAATCCATAGCCTATCACTTTTGTGTTCTATATCCCAACTAGCTTTACTTATTGCAGCTTTATTCCATACTCTCATGTTCATCAAGCCTAGACCACCCATTGATTTTGGAGTACAGACCTTCTCCCAAGCAATTAAAGCCTTCCTAGTGATTGTATTTGTGCCCAACCACAAGTAGCTTCGACAGTAGGCTTCAATTGTATTTATCACTTTCGAGGGTATAACAAACAGTTGTGCCCAGTAAGCTTGAATACCAAAGAGGACAGTCTGGATTAGTTGGGCTCTACCTGCATATGACAGCTTCTTAGCAGTCCAAGAGGTGATTTTAGCCACCATCCTGGTAATCAATGGTTGCCACTAGATTAAGGAGATCTTTTTTGTTGCTAAAGGAATTCCCAGATATCTGAAGGGGAGTTCTCCTTTAGGGAATCCTAGAAAACTTAGGATTTGTTCCTGCACCTCTTGAGTCATCCCTCCAAAATAAATGGAGCTTTTCTCTTTGTTGGCTTGGAGGCCTGAAGCATCTGAGAAATCTTGGAAGCGTCTATGAAGGGTAGTCACTGATTTAACATCACCTCTAGAAAATAATAACAAATCATCTGCAAAAGACAAGTGAGCCAAATATAGTTTAGAGCACTTTGGGTGGTACTTGAATTCTTGGATTTCTTTCACATCATTGAGATTCCTATTGAGGTATTCCATGGAAATTGCAAAGAGGAATGGGGAGATTAGATCTCCCTGCCTGAGTCCTTTGGCTGCATTGAAAGGAGCTGTAGGTTCTCCATTTACCATAATTGAATAATTGACAGTTTTCACACACTCCATGATCCATCCAGTAAATTTTCTAGGAAAGTTTAGCTCATCTAGGACTTGCTCCAGGTACACCCATTCCACAGAATCATAGGCCTTTTGGAGGTCTATTTTTATCATGCATCTAGGAGATACAGTTTTCCTTGTATAGGCTTTCACCAATTCTTGAGCAAGAAATATGTTATCAGAAATTTTCCTTCCTGGGATGAATCCTGTCTGCACCTCACACACAATTGAAGCAATGACTTTTTGGAGTCTTGATGCAAGGACTTTGGAGATGATTTTGTATAACACAATCCAGCAAGCAATTGGCCTGTACTCTTTCACAGTCTCGGGATGATCATTCTTGGGTATCAAAGTGACAGAAGTACAATTAATAGCTCTATTCATCTTGTTGCTTTCAAAGAATCTCTTTACTGCTGTTGTGATCTCAGGACCAACAATTTTCCATGCCTTTTTGTAGAAGTAGGCATTATATCCATCTACCCCAGGGGACTTATCATTTCCAATTGCTTCTAGTCCATCAGCTATCTCCTGGTCAGTAACTGGAGCACACAGCAACACCTGTTGATCATGATTAAGCTTAGGTCCCTTACTCATTGTAATCTTATTGACATCTTTGAGATAGCAATTTGAGGTTCCCATCAATCCTTTATAAAAGGTCACAATTTCTTCTTTCAACTCATTAGGTTCAGATACCAGATGACCATCTTGTAAAGACTTGAGGTCTCTGATTTGCTTCCTATGACTTCTTTCTTTCATGACTGCAGCAAAATATTTAGAGTTTGAATCCCCTAATTGTATCCATTGAGCTCTAGACTTCTGCTTTAGATACTTCTTCAACCAGATTCCATTTCTCTAACTGCATTAGGGCTTCTTTCTCCTTTGTCACTAGAGTATCATCATAGTTTGCTCCCATTGCTGCTTGAACTTTTTGAAGTTCTTCTCTTGCCCTGTCAATTTTCTCTGTAGTTGCCTGAAACTCCTTTTGATTCAATTGCCTAAAAGCTGATCTCATTGCCTTTAGCTTGTTCCAAACATTCTGTATAGGATCATTATTCAATTGTTTCTTCCAATGTGCCTCCATTATTTCCAGAAATTGTGCATGCTCTCCCCATATATTGAAGAACCTGAAGGGAACTCTGATCTTTTGGTTCATAGTGTGCAATGTCAACAGCATAGGTGCATGATCAGATATGTTAGGCAAATCATATTCTAACACTATATGACCCCATTTCATCATCCAGTCATGATTACCAAAACCCCTGTCTATTTTGCTACTGACTCTTTCGCTGCCTGTTGTTTATTTGTCCAGGTATAATAGTCCCCTTTCCATTGTAGTTCATTTAGTAAAGAGTAATTTATACAATCTGCAAACTCTTTAACCTCATTAAAAGTCACCGGATGGCAGCTTCTTCTATCTGCAGTAGTTAAGATTGCATTAAAGTCTCCACAAACTAACCAAGGACAGTTAGTGTTGCTTGATATATCTTGCAAACTTGACCATAGACTTCTTCTTTCTTCTACAGTGTTAAAGCCATATACAATGGTTAGAACACATTGAATTTTATAAGCAGTATCTCTAACTTCACAGTGTATCAACTGAGCCTCCACCTTCAGGGTATTTATACTATATTCTCCTTGATCCCACATCACCCAAATTCTCCCATTTGCTGCAGCAGAGTAATTGTTCACTATCCCCTAGTTTGGTGCAATATTTGAAGTTATTTTTGACCACCTGTGATGTTTAACCCTGGTTTCCAGCAGCCCCAGAAGTTTAATATTTTTTTTCCTTATATGTTTTCTCAACTCTTTTTGTTTATACACTTTATTCACACCCCTAATGTTCCATATCAACCAGGTCATTGAGCAGTGATAGGTCCACCTGGTTCAGGTGGTTCTACTTGTCTCATTCTCTGTACCTCCCTTTGTGTTGCTCCAGTCTTCCTATTTTTTGCATTACTCAACATGACAGCACTCAATTGTGGGAAATTAATCAAGTTCGGCTCTGGACTAGGTAGCTCCTTGCCTTTAGATGCATTCTTTGACCCTTCCACAGGTGTTGTATCTGTGTTGTGTGTTCCTTTATCCATTTGCTGCAGTTTGTTCATACCATCTTTGTGTTGATTGATTGCAACCAGAGTTGATTGTTGTGTATCTGTCAATTGGCTCTTTGAGGGAACATCTTTAGGTTTCCATTCCTGGATCACTTTTTTCTGCTCTTCTCTTCTTCTATTTTGCATTTGTCTTCCTTGTTGCTCAGGTTGCTTCATACAAACGTGCCCTATAGTTAAACACTGAGGGCAGAACTGAGGCTTCCATTCAAACACCACCTCCTGCTGAAATTTCTTCCCATTTGGCTCCATAACCACAATTGTGTCAGGGAGTGGTTTTGATACATTGACTTCAATTAACATTCTGGCATAGGAAATCCTTGTTTGTTTAGTCGTACATTCGACAATTTTTGAACAATTTTATAGTGGGTTATGTGTACTTCTAAATTTGAGTGAAACATGCGACAACTTTTTTTTAACGGTGATTAAGGCATTTTTTTGTTAATAGATTTTTTCTAGCTACCCCTTCCAAATCCCACTAGTTGACTACTCTTTTCAGAATTCCTAATTTGAATTTATTTTGGTGATTAAGATTAAGGTTCCTTTTTTTAAAATATATAAATTTTTATTGGGAAAAGAATTTAATCATTTGGTAGTATTCTTATCTAGCCCAATAAAAATTCCCAGACTTTTTGCAAAATGTATTCAAAAAGTTCTCATAAAGTTAAACAAATTTCCTTAGTTTGATGATAATCTGATTTATCACAAAATTTGAAATTTTGGGAAGGTGGAGGATGCCAATTCCCCTCTGTACGAACTTTTTTAAATACAGAAATTAGCAAATGTGTGGCACACTGGAAACTCAAATGTATATATGTAATAATTAATTTAAAACTATTGATAATATTAACACAAATTTAGAAAGAAATTCGATCTCAAGTTATAGATTGAGAAACATGTCCTATTTTTTCAATTCAATGCTCGGAGAACTTATGGAGATAAAAAGTGGATTTAACTAAGTGAGAAACCCATAAGTCAGTGTTTTTCTCGCTCTATACGCATCCTCTTACTTCATCCATTCACTTTTATTGCCCACTTGTCACGTCCTTAGTCATTAACTAAGTACACGTGCGGTACTTGACAACTCACTCACGATCTTGCACAACTTGCTCACGTTCTTGCTATGCCAAGTCAGCCTTACTACACTCTAGATCGCTAAGAGAATGGTAGAAAGAACACAAGAGAATTGTTAAAGGAAGCTTTGTATTAGAGAGAACTTGAATTGTTTGCTTGATGAATTACAAATGAATGGCCCCCCTTTATATACTAGTCTCCTAGGGGCTAGTGTGTAAATATTAATTATTATACAAGTCCTTAATATTTACAAGATAAGGGCTTTCTCTAGAATTCTCTACAAGCCTAGAAGATTCCAAGGACTTCCCTAGCAAATCCATAAGGATCTAGGTTCTTCCTAAGAAAATGTCCGTACTTCTCTAGAATCTTCTCACAAATGCTAGCCTTCTTCTTATGTAAGTTTCCACATGGCATTAATATATTCCAAATGGTGCCTATGTGGCATGATGACGTGGCGGATCATCATACTCTCCCCCACCTATATTGCGACGACTGCGGCGCAATGCTACTGCATAAACTCTCGAATCTTATCTTTGAATGGCCATAAGTCTTCATATCGTTCCCATGTGGCCTCTTTCGGTGATTGCCCCTTCCAATGGACGAGGAACATAGCGGTGGCTTTTTGCCCCTTGTTTTCGCCTGGCCTGATAATCCATAATAGCTTCAATTCCTCGATCATGCGAGGCGGTGATAGTCATAGGTGCTCGACTTGATTGGCCCCTACTCGGATCATCTTTCTTCATGATATGGCTTAAGCATGCTGGCATGGAAGACAGGGTATATCTTCATATACGATGGCATGCCAAGCTTGTATGAGATCTTTCCTACCTTGGCGACGATCTTATATGGCCCCGCATACTTGCGAATCAAATTCTGATGCATGCCCCGTAGTGACTTTAACTGTCTTGGGTTAAACTTCACCATGACCATGTTCCTAACTCTATAATCCATGGAACGATGCTTACGATCCGCGAACTTCTTCATCTTCTTAGCTGCCCTATCCAAGTAGGACTTAGCAGTGTCAAGCTGCTCCTCCCATCGTTTGGCCATATGATTAGCCCCCAAACTCTTTCCCTCGAACGCAGCTGGTAATGAATGTGGAGTTTGTGGCTGTTGGCTTGTGGCTAGCTCAAATGGTGTTCGCCCCGTGGACTCACTCCACTGCAAGTAATAAGAGAATTAGGCAATATCTAGGAGCTTTGCCCAATCTTTCTGATGCGTGCTTACATAGTGCCTCAAGTAGCATTCTAGTAAGGCATTGACCCGTTCCATTTGTCCATCTGTCTGTGGGTGGAAACTAGTGGAAAAGTGCAGTTCTGTGCCAAGTATGTCGAACAACTCTCTCCAAAAGTTTCCAGTAAAACGGGGGTCTCGATCACTAATAATATGCCTTGGTAAGTCCCAATACTTCACCACGTTCATAAAGAATAGCTTGGCGGCTTCCTTGGCAGTGCAACCTGGTGAGGCGGGCATGAATGTGGCATGTTTGGGAAATCTATCCACGACCACCATAATAGTACCATAACCGTCGGACTTCGGTAGGTAAGTGATAAAGTCCATAGTCACGCTCTCCCATGGACGCTCTACAACTGGTAGTGGCTCCAAAAGTCCTCCGGGTTGTTGTTGCTCAACCTTGTCCTATTGACAGACAAGACAAGTCTGCACATAACACTCTATGTCATGTCGCATGCGTGGCCAATAGTATACTGACTCAACCAAGGCCCTAGTTCGACGTTGGCCTAGATGACCAGCCCACATTGTGTCATAACTCTCCCTTATGATCCACTGTCTAATGTCTCCAAACTTAGGCACGTAGACCCGCCAACCTGTGGTAAGCAGTAGGCCGTTGTCGACCTAAAAACATCTCGTATTGCCCTGGTTGACTAACTCAATAAGCTGTTTGGCCGTTGGATCATGTTGCATGCCTTCTTTTATAGCCTCACGAATGTCCCATCTTGTTGAAGTGATTGCAGCAAGGTCGGCTTTCCGGCTCAAGGCATCAGCTACAATGTTACCTTTGCCCAGCTTGTACTCCAGCACATAATCAAACTCGGCTAAGAAATCCTGACACCTAGCCTGTTTTGGGGTGAGCTTCTTTAATGTCTAAAAGTAGCTAGTAGTCACATTGTCGGTGTTGACCACGAACCTCGACCCGAGCAGATAATGTCGCCATGTACGAAGGCAGTGCACAATGGCAGTTATTTACTTCTCTTGCACCGTGTAACGTCACTCCGTCTCATTTAGCTTGCGGCTCTCAAACGCTATGGGATGCTTATCCTATATCAGGACACCCCCAATGGAGAAGTCTGAGGCATCTGTGTGCACCTCAAATGTCTTGGTAAAGTGAGGTAATGCCAAGACTGGCTCCTCCATTACAGCTGCCTTAAGGCCTTCAAATCCCTTTTGACAATGCTCCGTCCAAACCCATGGCTCATTCTTCTTTAGCAATTCAGTCAATGGTGCGGCCTTGGCTGAGTAGCCACTAATGAACCGACGATAGTAGTTAACAAGGCTAAGGAAGGATCTCAACTCAGTTACCTTTGTAGGCGCCTCCCACTTCTGGATAACACGTACCTTAGCCTCGTCCAAGCGTCGCTCGCCATTGCTAATGACATGGCCCAAGAAGTGCACCTTTGATTGTGCAAACTCACATTTCTCCCTCTTGATGTATAACTCGTTCTCCCGTAAGACTTGGAAAACCTTCCTTAAGTGCTCCATGTGCTCCTCCAAGGTGTTGTTGTAGATGACTATGTGGTCTAGCTAGACTACCATGAACTGATCAAGGTAGGGATAGAAAATCTTGTTTATAAGGGTGCAAAATGTGGTCGGTGCATTGGTCAAGCCGAAGGGCATCACCAACCACTCAAAGGCTCCATATCTCGTCACACATGTTGTTTTTGGCTCATCTCCTTCTGCAATGCGACCTGGTAGTAGCCCTTTCAAAGATCCACCTTGGGAAAGTACTCGACATTCGCGGTCTTGACGCGAGAGTTGGTTGGAGCAAGCTTCAATTCTAGTCTCTTAGCGGCAACCTCAATTAAGAAATTATGAGTTGCTCCTGTATCCACCATTGCCCAAGCGGGCTTGTTGTTGATGGTGAGATCAACGTACTGATTACCATTCTAGCTAGGTTGGATAGCTTGCTTTGTGACAGCACCACATAATCCGATCATACCCAACTGTGCGATTACCGAACTCTCTCCTTGCAGCTGATCCTCTCATTCACAAACTATGGCACTGAGGCTCTTTAGGTCGGGACAATTCCTGAAGCTGTGTGGGCCTCCGCATATATAGCATCCCTTCTTCTTGGCCTGTGCCTTCTTCTTGGCATAGCCCTGACGGCCACTCGACTTTTTGGAATCTTGAGTCTTGGAGTATTGTTGTTGTATCTCCTTGCCTTTGCCATGGTCTCCCCCACCTTTGACATAGCTAACCTTTAACTCCTTGCCTTTGCCTTTGTCGTGCTTGTCATGCCTAAAATCCATCAATGATTCAGCCTTCACTATGGCTTGGTCTATATCCGTGACTTGCCAATGTTGTAACTCTTGTTTAGCCCAATTTTGCAACCCGTCCATGAAGTGGAATAACAAGTCATCATTGGTCAGGTTGGGAGTTGAAGCGTAGTCACGTGTGCTCCCTGTTTGCTTCAACTCCCTGAGCTTGCGCCTTGCCTCGTACAAGACATTATTTGGAAAGAACTTTCACTTGAACTCGGCTTTTGTCACGACCCTAGTTCACCAATTGTGAACACGTCATGACGGCACCTAGTCTTCATGACTAGGTAAGCCTAACACATTGCGGAAGTAACAACATTTGCGAAATTTATATTCGAAGCTAAATAACATGAGTAAGGTATACAGTTGCCGCCTGGCACATACACTTTACTACAAAATACTGAAATAACCTCCAAGACACGGAAACCCACGGGCAACACAGGCTATAAGAAATCTTACACTGCTCTAGTCACCAAAATAGTCTAATACAAAGAGGGATCGAAATAACATCTAACAACTATGGATAAAATGAGAAGGAGACTTTGCGGATCTGCGGACGTAACAGATGTATACCTCAAGTCCCCAATACGCTCCCTAACAGCTACTGGCGGTACGCCTGCTCAGAAGCACCTGGATCTGCACATGAAAAACATGTGCAGAAGAGGCGTGAGTACACCATAGCGGTACTCAGTAAGTGCCAAGCCTAACCTCGGTTGGGTAGTGACAAGGAAAAGGTCAGGGCCCTACTGAGACAGAAACAATAAAATAGTAAGATATTAACAGTATCGAAGTCTGAAGAAAACTAATGAACACAGCGATGTGATAAGACAGATCAATGAAATATAGAACTGCAAGACAAAACAGAAACACAGAGTAAATACAGCAAAATTACAAGAATACCGACGGGGGTCTCCCAGGATACCGTCCTGTAGCCCTTTTTCAACTGTCCAATGGAACTTCCGGGATACCGTCCTGTAGTCCAAATCTCATATCGGTACCAAAAGATCTCCCGGGATACCATCCCGTAATCCAATCATCAGTGTGCAGGGGGATCTCCCGGGATACCGTCCCGTAGTCCCAAAATAAAAGTGCAGGGGAAACTCCCGGGATACCGTCCCGTAGTCCCAAAATAAAAGTACAGGTGAAACTCCCGGGATACCGTCCCATAGTCCCAAAATAAAAGTACAAGGCAAAACTCCCGAGATACCGTCCCATAGTCCCAAAATAAAAGTACAGGGGGATCTCCCGGGAATCAAACCCGTAGTGCCAAAGTAAACAATCAAGGGGGAACTCCCGGAATCCGGATCCGTAGTCCCAATATAAATGCGCAACCAACATCAACGAATTATTCAGAAATTTAAGTACAACAATACAAGGCGTCAAATAATACTGGCCTAACATGCTCCACGTAATCACAGCTAAGACAATTTAATCAAATAGGCAGCTTGGGTCAATTAAACATGCTCTTCTACGCTAACACAGGCTATAAAAGCAAGTAAAGTAAGGCAAATATGAAAGAGAATCCAAATCAAGTATTTAAGTAAAAATTCGGGTTTCAACAATTTGCTCAAGTACGCGCTCGTCACCTCACGTACAAGGCATTCAATTACCAATTATCACATCCTAAGGGACGAAGTCCCCCACACAAGGTTAGGCAAGCCACTTACCTCGAACCGGTGCGAAGTCAACTATGGAACGATGCCCTTGCCACGAGTATCCGACTCCAAATGGCCCAAATCTATTCAATTAAATTACAAATCGTAAATAATATTGCAAACAACTGATTCCACTATTGAAATTAAAGCAATGGCGCGAAAATAGGTGAAATGACCAAAATGCCTCTCAGGCCAACGTCTCGGAACCGAATAATTTTCACATTTTCAGAAACCTCGTACTCTCACGAGTCTAACCATATAAAAATCTCAAAAATAGGAGGTCGAATGCTCCCTCCAAACCCAATAGTTTAGTCAATGAACTTTCACCCAAATTATTCCATTTTTGATCCTTAATTCGAATTTAAAAGGTGGATTTAACTACTAAATGATAGAATATAATTAGAAAGGATCATAGAAATGTTACCCAATAATCTCCTCTCCAAAATCCTCTCAGAATCGCCCTTGCCCGAGCTCAAAATTGATTTTCAAACTTATGAAATTAAACCCTCGAAATTTCCTGTTTCTGCCCAGACATTTCCGCTTCTGCGGACAAGGGACCGCTTCTGCGGTCCCGCTTAAGCGGCAAAATAACCGCTTCTACGGTTTCTCATTAAAGGGGGAAATTCCGCTTTTGCGGACACATGACCGCTCCAGCGGTTCCGCTTCTGCGGAAAGATGACCGCTTCTGCGGTCTCTGAGGGGAAGCCAAAAATCGCTTCTGCGATGAGGAAGCCTCTTCTGCGGCTCCACTTCTGCTGTTCCCAAACCGCAGAAGCGAAAATACCAGAAGGGAAAACATACCAGCTGCAACAACTTAGAAAATTTCCCCGTTAACCACCCGAAATCATCCCGAGGCCCCCGGGGCCTCAACCAAAAGCACCATTACCACCTAATACCTTATTCGAACTTGCACCAATCCTCAAAACACC